ATAAGCGGCGTAATTACGCAGGTGTTTAGGCGTAAATGCGCTAGCTCCGGATGCATTTCACTGCAAAGAGTGTGCATCCGGGCCATATAACCGCTTACCCCCGGTTCGCTACGTTGGTAGCACACCAAAAGATTGACTCGTAGTTCCTCCGTCCACTTAAAATTCATCCTTAAAGCGCCAGGGTCGTCAACGTTCATCGGGTCCGGCGTGCTCCTCCCACCTGATGAATGGTCCTCATCCGAAAAGGACCTGTTGTGGGGAGCACTTCTGAGATTACGTCTTGTTGTAACTCAGTATTTCAATGCAGTGGGTAGTTGGCCCACTGCATCGGCTACGTCGTTCGCCTACAGACCTGGTGTTATGGTCTGCGTTTCCCGCGATGCGCCGCTTGGAGGCCACGTAGCAAGCACCGCTTATTATTATTATTATTATTATTATTATTATTATTATTATTATTATTATTAAATCAGTAGAGGTATTGTACAAAAAAAATTAAGCCAAAATTTTAATGTCGATCGTCATTCTTGACGATTTTCGAAAATTAAAAATTTTACATTTTTTTCAAAATATTTTCTTTTCAATAGCTCCAAGTGTTCCCTTTCAAACAAACGAAAGGCTATTCCTGTTTATGTAATAGAGTTCGAGATATTACAAAAATAAAATTGAAAAATTGCAAAAATTTTGAATTTGGATATCTTTTGAAAAAATTTTTTTTTCCTTTTGCAGAACTTCCAAATCGAAAGGTGTTGATTCCAACTATTGGTCGATTTGACATGGAATGACCCACATAAAAAAAAAAAAAAAAAAAAAAAAAAACTAAGTTTAATTCGTTTGCTGACATGGATGTCTATTTTATTATATGTCAGAATTTTTTTTGATTGATAACAAAACATTACGATGCACTACACAACTGATGAATTTAAGACAATTTTTCTAGTATATTATTTACTGGTGATTTTTATTTCGCATAAAAAGTTAAATAATTAAGGAAAATCGATGATTATTCTAGCATTGGTTTCTAAAATTAAGTAGAATAGGTAAAAAATTGTTTCATACAATATCTGTAAAAAATTAAGTACCACATCGTCAAATAAATGAAATTTTCAGTATTTCAATTTATTTTGCAAAATTTACGAAAATTTTAAAATTCGGGGTTATTTTTTACTTTTTTCGACTTTTATTGAACAAATTCAACTTTGAGTGATTCTTTGCTATCACCCGAAGTACTGTTTCTTATTGGGTTTCAATCTTGTCATACTAATATAAAAAATTAGTTCCAATTTTAGCGCTATTCTCTCGATCGTCCGTTTTAGATGATTAAAGTAAATATAAAATCAGAATTATTCAGCTGAAAACAGAAAGCAGTTATAGCTACTTATTTAAACAATCTTTGCAAAATATTTACCTACTGCTAGTACTGTTATCTTGACAAATTACAGAACATCTTAGCAATCAGTAAGATTGATTTAATCTACAAGTTGTTTACATTCATGTACACTCACCAGCCATCTGTTAACACTCCAAGAGGTTACTAATCAGCATGGTAAACTTTGTTGATAAATTTCGCGTCAAGTTAAGTAAATACAACTGACCTCTTAGATATACTAATTTAAGATTTAGTTCAAGTCAGTAAATTTTATGACTGCGCTACAAAAAATCGGGAAAGAATCCGGAGTAAATTTCTTTTCCACCACATCGAAGTACCAGAGTAAAAAAAACAAAATACTCCGCAAATGAAGTAAATCCGGAGTTTTTTTTTTTTTTTAGCGGAGTGAATCTGGATTTTGATTTGGGAAACAGTAAAATGCAGAATCCTTGGAGTAAAATTAATTTTTATTTAGCTGAAAGAAGTTGTTAGATGCTCAATTTTTTTTTGTCTCGAAAAGTTAATATCAATTAAACCTGTCTCACTGTGAATTTCACTTCAGCAGAAAGTAAATCAATTGAAAATCATCTACTCCCAAATCACTCTGCATTTACTCCTCAAATTTTTTACAGTGTGGTAGTACTGAATAAATATTGCTGCTCTTCTTAATATAATTTTTTTTGTTTTTCAAATATTCATTGATAAATACAAGGCATTTGAAGACCACTAATTAAAAATTAAAAATTTTTTAACTTATCGAGTTTCGTAATTGGTGGCATAAAACTCAAGAAAATATAATTAACATGATATCAATTTGTTTAACATTACTTTTGATAGCAAGTTTAGTTTTAATTAACTCATTCATTCTTAGTTAATGAGTTTTTATATTGACCTTTGTGCGATAATTGCTTACGAGTCTTTTGGTTAAGGAACCTGAAATTATTCATAGTCAAAATTATTATTAAATACACTAAAAATGTTAATTAACCCAAATTAGTTAGTTAGCTTAATTAATAGTTTGTCTATTGATTACAAATAGAAATAAATTAATTTTCGTTGAAATATTCGATCTTTCTGCATCTTTAAATTAATTTATCGTGGCAAGAAATATGCTCACAAAAGTATCAATTCCAAACATAAATAATTTTTCCAATTAAGAATGGATTAGTTATCCCGTATTTATATAACCTAAATAATAATGATAATAACTCTTGAGAAAATTTGAATGCATTAGTCTTTCACCAAACTTTTTTCAGTTATCATACTTCCGGTTGAGTAAAAGATAATGAGAGCAATAAATACGGTACGTTCATGTGTATGTTTGCCGAGAACAGGATTCGCAATTATCCTGACTTTCGAGTGGGTCGTTGATTCGCCGTAGGACCAAAATTACGAGGGCCGTTTGTTATTGAATAGTCTGCTTAAAGTACACGCTGCAAAGTTAATTAATGACTTGAAGAAACTAAAAAAATTAATACCTTGGAAAAACAAATAGTCGAGAAAATTTATCGACAAAGATAAAGAAAAACTTTTTTAACTAACTAAATAAATATTTAACTTATTTTTTTTAAATACATTATCTTAATTTCTTTTTAGTATTTAAATTTTATTATAATTAATGCAAGTAGTTATTCGGAGCTAAATTGCGATATACACTGATAAAAGAATTTATTTATATTTAACAAGCTATTTTAACTGTTAATAGATGGTTTATTATTACATTATGAGATATTTTGATAAATGATTTATTAATATTAAAATATTTTAATGAACATTTATTAATAAATGTACTTTAGTTGCAAAAAAATATTTGTTAAATGTTAAAAAGTATTTATTGATATTGAATAAATCCTTTTATCAGTGTATTTCGTTCGTACCATAATATGTATGCAATTAAGAAAATATTATATGTTGAGTTATTGCAAGCGAGGTACACGAACTTATGTCACAAAGGAATCGAGCAATTCATGTCATATTAGCCGCTATTGATGGTCAGCCTTTGGAGTTAACAAGGTTCCTTATATTTGCACGAAGTATTAATCTAACTGCTATAATTATTCCCATCACTAAGCAAAGCACTTGTTATTGATTGGTTAGTATATGTTATGTGTTATTATTAATGCTAACGACGATAGGCGTTCTTTATGCTAAAAATTATTATTAAAACGTATTTTTATGTGTAGCATCTAACTTTAACGAATGAAACTATAATAATAATATTAGTGATATACTTATATATAAATGTTTCAATGCAACTTTTGAAAAATTCATTGAATTATTCATTGAAAACACCAAATTCCTGATACAAGTAAGCGCTAAATTTACACAGCTGCGATAAATTTTAAATTGAAAAGCTGTAGATAATAAAAAGTGGTACAATTTCAGTCGACTGTTTGGTAAAAATAATTTTTTTTAAATACTAAGCGGAAAAAGTAATCGACACAATATTATGAAAGTTATAAACCAACGATAGAATGTTTGTTTAAAATTTTTCAAATTGAATGATCCAACAACTCTATGGTGTAATATAAACTGCAGGAGCTTTTTTCTTCATTATTTTAAATCCTGTATAGTATAAGAATTTATTAACTATCAAATACTTAAGCTACTTATACATTCTTATGACTACTAAAGGAAGGTTTAACTTATTGATAAACAAATAAAAGGCAGTAAATATGAGTTTTAAATACTGATGCTTTATTTTTTTTTATATAAAGTATTGTATAAATGTATAAACGCTATAAATACGTGGTATCTATCTATGGTGGTGGTGGGGTGCTAGTCGTGATCGCATAGAAAGGGTATGACGAGGGCGGGCGGGGTCGAGGGCCGGCGACGGCGCGCCATCTATATACATTGATTCACTCACAGGAACGGCTGACCTACCACAACCCACCAGTCTCCTTCACTGATATAACAATTATGTGTATATATGTATGGTAACATAGTAATATATATCAATATATAAGTATGCATGTACAATACAAATACTCAATATATACACTGATATGTGAGTATATATATATACACATATATATTTATATATAAATACATACAGATATATAAAAATAAAAAAATAAAAAGGAAGAAGAAGACATGGACGAGTATGTAATAAAAAATATGTATGCTTATATGCTGCAGTGAGTTGAACATCTACAAAGAACCGTTTGATGGGCAGGTGTTACCTCATCAAGGGATAGTACCTTGTCAGTGAGTCGATCGGGTGAACTACGTTGGAAAACCCAAGTGAGTAGACGGCAACCTGGCTATTCAATAAAACAGAACAGCTTTGTTGGTTTTTCGAATCTCACTTGGTTTTATCCAAATTAGACTGCTTCTCATCGTCGAATGTCTACACTTCTAGCTGTGATGATGATGGTGATGCCGGAAGTGATGCTTGAGGTCAAACGGTGTAATTTTATAAATTTAATAATCCGTAGATGAGAGACAATTATTTGGTAAAGTCAGTAGTGTAGCCCAGATGGTGGTTGGGTGCCCAATTTATCTCACAAACTAGTATTCAACTACTCCTTGGTTACATGCTGAGGGCTTATATTTTTAAATTGTAGATAGGTATGATTGTGGTAAGTTTGCCGCCGTCACCGCACCGAGATCGCTGGGGTCCTGGACCGTCTTACTGCCATTTACCGTGACCATGGCCATGGATTGCTCCGGGGAAGATAGCTCCGTGGGAGCCAAGACCAGCGTGGATTGCTCCAGATGGTCCGTTGATCACAGCAACTCCGGCATCGTGTCCACCAATGGCACCGTGGATTCCTGGACCACCACCAATGACGGCAATGGCACCTGGACCTCCGAAACCTGCTCAAATTAAAATTAAAATTGAATTAGTTAATCATGCATTATTAATAATAATTGCCAATAGGTGACTGAATATAATGAAGAATACTGACCACCGAATCCACCACCGGGAGCAGCAGCAGCAGCAGAGCCAGAGCTACCGTCGTCACCGTTGATTCCACCGGCACCGGCGTAGAAAGCAACTCCTCCGTAGCTGGGTCCAACAAGGCTAGCGGTAGCCTGGGATGGTCCAACAAGGGTGGCAGTTCCTTGGGATGGTCCTACAAGGGTGGATGGTCCGGCAGCGGGTCCAACAAGGCTGGCGGGTCCGGTACGGGGTCCTCCTACGGATTTAGCTCCTTCTTGGGGTCCTACGAGGTCTGATGGTCCGCTCTGGGGTCCAACGTTGGCTTTTGGTCCTTCTGCGGGTCCGATGTCAGACCTGCCTCCGGTTACTCCACCAGATACAATCTGTTGGACTCCTGCGGCACCAGCAGCGGCAGCAGCACCAGCAGCGTAGCTGGCACCAAGACCACCAGATCCCAAGCTGGAGGCTCCTCCTTGGAGAGAGGCTGCGGTTCCAGCACCAGCGGCGAGTCCACCGCTAAGTCCGGCTCCACCGTGTCCGGCGAATCCGTAACCACCTCCGTATCCACCGTGACCTCCGTAACCGTGACCGTGGTAACCTCCGTGGGCGATTCCGGCACGGGCCGCCGCCACAGCCAAACAAGCGAACACAATCTGTAATAAAAAATTTAACAGAAGGTTACGTTAGTTTTTAATTTTATTATTATTATTGCACAAGTCGTTGCTCCACGAAACAATTATTTGCAATGAGTTGTGTTTCTGGTACTTTCCCAACTCATTTCAAGTAACTATTCAGTGGCTGTATATGTCCGATTTGATTACAGGAAGCTGAGAACGTATCATGGCCGAGTCGTAACAGTCAGTCAAGTACCACCAGTCTAACAAACTAACGATTATGGTCTAACGTCGCACTCTCGGCTGTCGGGAGGTGCATAATCGTTGCTTTCACTTTCAATCCTCGGGAATCTAATAATCTATCACCATTATTACCATTGCTATTGCTATTGCTATTCTTATCCGGTGTATTATTGAGGAAATAGAAGTTTAAAAAAGTTGCTAGAGACAACTTACAAGAATTACTGCTGCCCGATATTTACCTTATCATATCACTGTCACAATAGTTGAGGAAAATGTAAAAACAAGTCACGCGATAAATAATAATATATCCGTATTTTAAAATAATGTACGCGGAATTGAAAACTTTGTGTACCGAGTTTAGCTGAGCTGTTATGTCATAAAGGGTGTAACAAGCGAAACTAACTGTCGTTTTTAATTTATACAACATACACGGTGCTGTAATGTTTCATAATTGGAGTGATAGTACAAGCCGATTGCAATTTTGCTAGTTAACGAAACAAACTCGATACCCAAGATCCGTATTTGGGTAACGAATTCTTCCCAGCCCATTACGTTGCTAACTAGTGTACTGGGAGAAATATAAAAAGTAGGTTGCCACAAACGTAATCGTAAATAGTTCATCATTACTGTATATATCTATATATATTTATTTATTTATTTTATTTTTACTCAAGTTTTTTTTAAGAAAATAATTATTTTTAGTACGCGTTATTTGGAGCTGGAACTAAAAGTAACTGCGTCGTTTTAATTAAAATTGTGTATGTAATTTCTAGACATTTTACGACGAGGTGTAGTCATTAGTTTATTTATTAATATATATATTGAACCGTATTTTTAATAAGTGGAGTACGAAAAAAAAAAAATGTTGAGTTATTAGAAAGTTTAGAAATTTATAAAATCTTGTTTGCCGGTTATTATTTTTTCAAGTAATTAAAAATATTTTTTGCACTATTTTAAATATTAATTTTTTTTATTGACGAAAAAAAGTAGTCGCGATGACTCGAATAACCGGTTTAGTAAGTAAGATTGATCTTAATAATGAGTAGTCATGCAAGAACCGGTTTTACGGTACTCGTAGTATATTGGCGTGGTCAGTTCTTTGTTGTTATGAATGAGAAGTGATTTGTTGAGAAAATAATTAATTGAACTTTTCAATAAAAATTGATTAGTATAAATTTTGAAAATGTTAATGGAGAATGATGAAGAAATTTTAAAAAGTGATCAAAAAATTAAAATATCAAGAGCCCTGAGAAAATACTCGTAGGGCTTGAACTAATGATTATAATAATGAGATATGATTTAACAATAATAATGATGATGATGACAATAGAAAATATAAAGTGGACAATAGGCTGTTGTATAAGCCTGTGACCATCCCGTAATACTCACAAAGGTCTTCATATTTGTTGTGTGTATGGTGGGTTGATAGTCCGGTGAATGACTGACTTGGGTTGGGTCGGTGGGCCTTATATACTCCTAAGTCTACTCTGGCCACGCTCCACAATCACCATCCTTTCGAAAGCAACGCGCCTCCACCCTCCTCTCCCCATGAAAAACTATAATCCTCAATTGCCGATATACGATGGTCGTATTTAGTGGTAAGAGGTAGGGCGAGGAGGTACGGGGTGGATTGCTAGGTAGGCCAGCAACCGCTTCGTCTACCGAAGCTATTTCTCCCCTGGCCTCTCGCTTTACCGCTTTGGGTTTGCCTTCGCCTTCTCTCTCTCTTTCTCTTTCGCTCCTTCTCCTCAGAGACAACCTGAGAACACCGTACCAAGTGCACCAGGCACCGGGTTACCTGGTCACCTACGATACGCGTGCGGGCGTGGTGTTAAGTCTAGCTATTGCACTGGTCCATCGGCAGGTGAATTTACATCATCTGATATAGCTTTTGCTTTTGCCGATTTCTATCCTCAATTTTCGATGCTTAATTATTTAGAGTTTCAAATTATTGCTTGCGATTTTATTTTTTAGAGCCTAAGAATAATTCAGGAAAATATTGAATTTATACACAGTAAAAAATTTTTCGTCATTGTCTAGAGTGTTAAAATTTTTGTATAGAATATTACACTCTAGTGTGTAGAATTTATCATTCTCATGTGTTGATTTAATGATTTAATACACTACAATGTTAAATTCTACACACTAGAGTATAATATTCAACACACAAATTTTAACACTCTGCACAATGACGAAAAATTTTTTACTGTGTAATAACTGTTGCTCGCGACGATCACTGTCAGATCAAAATAACAAGCTTATGTAAATTCTGAGTTCCCGTAAACTCTATTACCTTTAATTGAAAATGAAGATCAACAAAAAAATTTATATACAATTATTACAGCTTGCCAAAAATTGAAAAAAAAATATATATATATATATATATATATATATATATATATATATATGTTTAGTCTGCATTTATTTTCGTTGCAATGGATCAAACTTTCAGAAACTTAGTTGACAGTTTTTCTTTTAGAATACGAAAAATATTAAGCAGAATTAAAAACATATTTTTTAGGAATATTTTAGAAAATTTGATAACTATTTTTTGATTAAATATTAACGAACTTTGTATGAATATTTTATTAAATAATGACCATGGAAAAATAATAAGATCAAACCTAAATAATATAATACCTCAGTTTTTCAAAAATAATTATAAATTGTAACAAAAAATTTGAGTATAATTGCTTAAGCAAAAATCAAACAAATCTGATTCTCTTAACTTTAATGAACTCATAATTTCTATAAGATAAAAACTATTAAAAGGATAAGGAACCATTTCTTAAGAAGACAATGTGGAAGATTTGTATTAATAAATACTAGGTCAAGGACGAGAGTAGTCCAGAAAGATCAGCCATTAAATTAAATTACTTAGATTGTTACGATAAAGTTACTTTCAACTGATGCAACTAAAGAGTTTATACTATTGCTGAGAGAGCAGATTCCGATAGCGTAAGGCCGGATGCACAGCCAGATATTCGGGGTTATCGTAATATAACTGGGATTTATTACTCAATGACCACTTGGGCGGGTGCATTGTCCGGGAAATATCGTCTTCGAGTGACCACTTCCCAAGTTGTTAGACTCTTCTGCTCATTAATTTACTTTTTTCTCGAGGAATAAAAATAAAACCACTTACTTGGAAAGATAGTGCAACATTTAAACCTAATTAACAGTGTGCTGTTCAAAGTAAAATTTATTTATTTATTTTCTTTTGGTTATAGTTTTAGTTATAAATTACCAAGTTTGATGACATGACAGCTTTTCCTCAGAAATTTATCACATCGGAATTCAATGCGGTAAGCTAACGAAATATCTCGAAAAGTTGTCGCTTTAAATTGTGTCGAAAAACAACAGTGATTAAAAGTTTACGACAGAGCTGCTGAGAAGTTGGTTTTATCAAAATAGAAAAAAGGAGTTGAATTTTTTTTTTTAGTAGATTGCTTACTGTCAGCCAGTAAACGATTACTTCAACCTACTAATTTAATAGTTGACTGCCAGAGGGTTGATTCCCACGTCAATTCATGTGAATTATCCTCGGGTAGTCGTGTTCTCATTTTTTTTCATAACTCGATACTGGATACTTAACTCTGCAAAAACAGCTAACGATCAAGTTATTCTTAATGAATAATGAATAGTGAATAAATTAAAACAATGCAGTAAGGATTATTGTTGATAACAGTACTCGAGAGAGGACAAAAGTTTTATTTAGCATGCAGGATAAAGAATTGAAGAATGAGCTTAAAGAAAAATATAGAGTAAATATAAAGTAAAAAAAAAAAACTAAGTTGAAAAAATGTAATTTCATTTCCTGATAAATTTTTCGTGAAAGTGGTTATATGTAAAGTTTTTTCCACGATCATATCGTAGAAAGTGAAAGCCATTATTCGACAGTAGAGAAAAAATGCATCAGCGTCCAATCGGCGTGAGCGGAGCTAAGACGGCAATGGTTATACAGTCCAGAGCTCGTGCGAATCTTTTTCGTTCGGCCGTGACCGGTTTATATATATATATCTGCGTGTCGCGTTGTTAAGACTCCCATTTGCCTTCACCCCAAAGTAACGCGAATAACGTCGACCGCTTGTGGTTTTATCGCACATTAAACGTTCTTATAATCAAATAGTCTATGTGTGATTAGTCATTAATAGTTTATATTAACTGCAGTTTTAGCCTTTTTTATTGTAATTGTAAATCATTTTATCATTATTAACAGTAAATTCATTTGAAGATCTCTATATATTGTCTGTAATGAATTGGACTAGATTCTGTAAAATAATCGGCTAAAAGTTTTAATCTAAATTTTGTTATTGTTACTGTGGAATTTATCATTTAGAGTAAATAATCGTAGAAATAGTTATCGAAAAATTTTAACCGAAGATCTTACAAATACATGAGAAAAGACAAAAAATAAATATTCTAAAAGTTGGTGCAATTTATTTAATAGAAATATCAATAAAAAATTTCGCTTAAAGTTAGATGTAGTAAAATGGCATCGTTTAATGAAATGGTGGCATGCACAAGCGCAATTAATTTAGTCATAAAGTTATGTTTCAGACAGTTGATAATTTTTTTGATGATTAACAGTTTTTTTTTCTCTCTTGTAGATTGCGCTTTATTCAGAATTAATGTATTGCTAATAGGAAGAATGAATAAGTATTGAGGTGTTTCGGAAATTTATTCCCAAAATTTTTTTACCATTTTAAAAGGTGTCGTGAGCAGTAAGCGAAAAAAGTTTTTTTGAATATGTCAAAATTTACCTGATTAAGTTTAAATTCCTTGTGCTACATATTATTACCGAAAATTTGTTATTATTTGAAATTTTCCCATTGATTAATAATGCTTGCAAGGCATAAAAGTCCGAAATTTAAAGTTTTTTTCATCTTAAGAACGATTGATGTAAGCCGAAAAAGTTAACGACAAATTTGATAAATTCCAAGAAAAAATTAACTTGAAATTTTATTTTATTGAAAAAACAGATATTTTTATTGATGGATTCAAAACTCAACATATTAAAATGCAGTCACTGAATTGCATTAATTAATCTAAAAAAAAAAAAAAAACTACAAAGATTATTCGATAAAAAAAGCAATAATGTATTATACTAACGAGGTTGTGTTTTGCTCAATCTCATTGTTAGATAAATAAGTAACGGTCATGCTTCTATTGACATGCTTTTTTACAAGTAAATTAAATAAAATTTGTCACGCTCAATTCAAACATTTTAATGCTTGGTTACACAAACTATTAAATTTTCTTCTAATCTTTTATTTATTTCTTTATTAAGCAGCTTACAACTTTGTTGGTCAGCTATCGAATTTACCGAATAACATCGTACTAAAAGTAAAGAGTGTACGTAGCCGGTCGATTCGCATTGTATGGGACCCAGGAAATCACAGTGACATGCGTAGGTGGAGTTAGAGGGAAAGTTCCGATAGTTTTTGATACGGGTTTTTTTTTTGTTTTTTATTGGCTTCTATCATTTTTCGGGGTCATCTAGAAAGTATTAAAATGTTAAACTAATACATTCGCCATCTCGTGTGCCGTATATTATCTCTTATCTATTTCTTCGTCTTACGTGTGATACTTTCAATCTGTGCATATGCACATTATTATCAAGTATGCTAATATTAAATGCGATACACATATTTTATAAATCTTAATAGTTTTAAAAAGATATACTTTTAATAAAATTGATAAAAATGTAACGGTACTTTCTAGATTGCGTGCGTTAATAACTAGTTTTAAATGTATGCAAATTATTGATAATTAAATATGTGACAGTTTATTGAATATGCATTAGACAGTGTCGTTTTTGCAGCACTTTTTTATTTTAATTAAGTTTATTCAGTATTTCTAGTTGCAGTTAATAAACTTTTAAAAAATTTATACTTTTTAAATTTGTCACCATTTTTTATCTGAAAATATTTGTCTGCTGCTTCTACATGAAAAAATATATTTGCCACATACATATTAGTATATTCCGACAAATTGACTATATGGAGAGCTTTATATTCGACTTTGCCCGCATATATTCATGTACACGATAATTTTTTAATATAGGTTATCGATATGTGTCCTACACGGAAAAAAATTAACTGTTGCTGCAACAGGAAAAATTCCTGTTACAGCAACAGGATTACTACTGTAATTGCGACTTAATAGTAAAATATAGTTGGGTCATTCCATGTCAAATTGACCTACAGTTGGAATTGACCCCTTTTGATTTGGATAAATTTTGATCAGAAATTTTCTTTTATCATATAACGAACTTCTGCCAGACGAAAAAAAATTAAAAAATTTTATTCAAAAGATATGCAAATTCAAAATTTCGCCATTTTTTCAGTTTTTTAATTTTGTTTTTGGAATATCTCTTGGGG